AGGGAGCCCGATGCGGGACTCGATCCCGGGACTCCAGGATCATGACCTGAGCCGAAGGCAGTCGCTTAACCAACTGAGCCACCCAGGCGCCCTAGATTCTCTTTTGATGCTGAATGTTTCATTTTGTCTCCTATTGCAGCATAGATTCTGGTAAACTAAAGGTGTGTCACAAATCGTAATTGACTGTCTTATTTTCTTTTCTTTTAGAATTAGGTATCAATTTTGACCACATCTGGCAAAAAACACTAACAGTGTTACATCCATTAAAAGTGGCAGACGGCAGCATCATGAATGAGACTGATTTGGCAGGACCGATGGTTTTTTGCCTTGCTTTTGGAGCCACATTGTTACTGGTAAGATTTTAGTTTGAATTCTCAGTATGAGGTTAGAGAACAATCTTCCAGTGTTCCACCAGGAGCCAAGTTTGAGACTCTGTTTATTTTTCAGATCTTGCATGTGTTTTGAATGGTATTAAGTTGCTGGAATATATACACATTCATCACTTCTCCATTGATAAAAAATGTCATATATTTAGAAATAATTTTTTGTTCCAAGAAAATGTCTAATTATTAGGGGAAAAAAACAAATAGTTATGTGTGGCTTCAGTCTCTCATCAAAATTCCTTCTTTTTAGAAATTGACAACATTTTTTAGCCTGTTGCTCTTTTATTTATTTATGTATTTTAATGATAGCTTTTTTTTTTTTTTAATCTGTGGACTTTGTGTGGTGTTTTGTTATTATAGTGGTGCTGGTGGTTACTTTCCTTTATATTATTTTAACTTTTAATGAATTGGAACATTAAAGGGCAAGATGTTTTACTGCCTATCTCCTACCTCCCTACAAATGTTAAAGTATATTGAAAATGAGTAGTTGTAAAGATAATATGTTAATATTTGTTGTATTTTATCTTATGTCTCTGAATTAGAAGAGATAAATGATGTAATGGATAAAAGATGGGATTTTTAGTCAGAAAAGCTGGGCATCAGTTCAGTGCTCCTGCTCTGTCCTGGAGCAAGCCATTCATCCTTCAGCTCCCTCTGATAGATAATCCTATGGTTCCCACCTCACAAGATTGTTTACAGATTATAACCAAGACAGGTTATATGAGAACCCTGAAAAATTTTAAAGTGCTGTACATGTATGAGGTTTTATTATTACTACGTTAGTGAATCCATTGGTGAACTCAGCTGAACCTTTTGAAAATTCTACACTCTCACATATTTATAAATAAATACTGAGTCTAACAAAAATGACAAGAATTTTTCCATGTAACGTAATCTTTAGAGGCAGTCTCATGATTGAGTTTTATATGTCTAGAATCTGACAAACCAGGAAGTTTTTAAAATCTCTGGACTGATTTTCATCACAGTATGACCTGAATACAATGTTTGTTCATATATCTTGACTGAGAGTACTGTGACAGCAATTTACCTAACTTATACTGTCTTAAGTCTGTTCATTAATACCTTTTACAACAGCATAATTAAGTTTTCTTTTGTTTTTTTTGTTTGTCAAAAGACTGTATAAATCCACCAACAATTTGGAAAAATAATGAAAGAAAAATATATCTTCCATTGTATTTCTCTTGCTTGTTAATCAGTTTTCTTTTCTCCTCCCCTCCCCACAGAACCACAGTGTCCTGCTTATCCTGCCTTCCTTTCTCTTAGCTCCTTTAACAGCCTTATAAAGTGAATGATGAAATTGTTTCTGCTGTTATAAAGATTGCAACTACGACTACCAATGAGAATAAATTGCTTCGGGGCAATTTTGGTGGTATTAGCTGCTTTCAAGTGATATTAGATATTGTCCAAACATTCTGCAGGGCTTTCTGTCTTGTCTCTGTAGTTTATTTGCTTAAAATCAGCTAGATTTCTTTTTAGAAATCTACTCCTTAAAGGTGATTGTACCATGATTTTGTCTCTTTATTTGCTGAATTGCTCAAATACAAACTGGAAAATGAAAAACCAAGTATCTGTGTATTGGGAAGTAGATACTTCAGATTTCTTGAGAGAGATATAAAAGACAATCTGTGTTTTACTCTTCTGCATAAGGAATAGATGCCTCTACAGATTTTGATGCTCACGAATTGAATATTTTCTTACATGCACCATTTTAGGTGAAATAAGACCAAAAAGAACTTACTTTCTTCCCCTTAACCTATAATCTTTTCTTTACCCATAGGCTGGCAAAATCCAGTTTGGCTATGTATATGGGATCAGTGCAATTGGATGTCTAGGAATGTTTTGTTTACTAAACTTAATGAGTATGACAGGTGTTTCATTTGGGTGTGTGGCAAGTGTCCTTGGATATTGTCTTCTTCCCATGATCCTGCTTTCCAGCTTTGCAGTGATATTTTCTTTGCAGTAAGTACTGATCTTTATTTTGGGTATTGATTGACCAATTCTCTGTAATAGGATTTATCTCACCATCAGTTTAAGATTAATCACTGTGATTCAGCAAACATGAGCTATAGTGCCTGTTGTGAATGAGGACTATACTACATGCTTTTCAGTGGTGAACAGTGGAACTGAGAATAAATTTTAAAATCTTTTATACCATCTCTGCTTTTATCTGTGATAAAGAATTTCACTGCTTTTGTGTTTACTTACCAGTGTCAGTAAACCGAACAGTGGTGATTGTTAACTAAAATATTGCATGAAAAAATCAAGTTGTTAAAATTATACTTACCGTCTTTGATATTTTTTAGACTATATCTGGTTTCTTAAAAATGTTGGGCATATGCTAAGTGAATGAATAATAAACACATACTCTTGTGTTTGGCAGCTTTTTAGCTGAAAGCAAAACATTCTTTTTATGGGAAGAGGCTGTTACTAGCCTGCCATGTTCTCAGCTGTACTTATAAGCAGTTTTAAGTATGTAATTGTTAAATAATATTTTAGGTAAGGTTAAAAAGAAAGGTGTAAATTCCTGTTGATAAATTCTCTCCTCTTGGCCAGTGTGCAGATTCTCTCTCAACAGTTCAGGCTCCTCCTTGTGGCTGGTGCCAGGCACAACCAGTGATGGCCCTTGGTTGCACTTAAAAAAGTTAAAGGAGAGGTTGAGGGGAAGAGCATGCATCAGCTGTTTGATGCTAGACATTTGGCAAGATGATGGCTTCACAGTGTTCTTGCTTTGCGTAAAAATGCTTCAGATTTTTTGTAGAAACTGTTTCACTCTTTTCGTTTGTGGAGATTGGTACATAGATATTTGAATTTTACAAAAGAGACTTTTCTACCAAAGCGGTATTTTCTAACCAGGGCAATTTTGCTCTCAGGGGACCTCAGGCAGTGTCTGGAGATAATTTTGGTTGTCGTAGCTGTGGGGCATGCACAGGTTCCACCGGTACCTTACAGCTAAAGGCCAGGGGTTTTACTCAACAACCTAACAATGCACCGAACACCCCTTCACAGCAAAAGTGCATTCATCCCAGGTGTCAGTAATGCCAAAGTTGAAAAACCTAGCTCCTATGCTAACAGGAGCAAAATGTAATTATAAATGAGCTTTTTCTCACGTCATTGAATGTGGATGTGAATAATTGAGCATCATTGAATTCACTGTGAGGTACATTATTTTAACATTTGAAAAAAAATCTTGATCTTTTCTGCAGATGTGTACAATGTGGATTTAAAATGCCTTTCTTTAGAATTGGTTGTTGTTATATTCTTACATAACTAATCTCATCTACTGCCTTTTTCCCCCTCCCCTTTTTCCTTGTCGGTTACAGGGGAATGGTAGGAATCATTCTCACTGCTGGAATTATTGGATGGTGTAGTTTTTCCGCGTCCAAAATTTTTATTTCTGCATTAGCCATGGAAGGACAGCAACTTCTAGTAGCATATCCTTGTGCTTTGTTATATGGAGTCTTTGCCCTAATTTCCATTTTTTGAACTGACTTTATCTGGCATGTGGACATCATTGGGCCAAAAAGGACTTTGAACCCTTAAATTGGACCAGCGAACTGCTACAGTGCAACTCTCATGCAGACCTAACATTTGACTGTTGGAGCAATGGAAGTAAACATGTATCTTTTGTTCATTTTTATAGAACTTTTGAATACTGTGTTGGATTTGTCTGCAGTATGACTAGCTTTAAGTGTTTGTGCTTATACATATAAGAATAAGAAGTGCTATTTCTCTCCTGTTCCTGCAGCCTTTGAAAAACAAATTTTTTCCTGGCAAATTACATTAAGATGTTTTTAATAGATTTTTATCAACTGTGGGAAACTAACCACAGAGCTAAAAATCTTTCTTAGAAACAGCCCAGCCTTAGTTAAGAAGACACGAGACTTACTGCAGAAAAATTTTTCCAAGGGATTAGGAAAGAAAAATTGCCTGTATTCTCGAGTTAGATGCACTTGAAGCAAAAAGTGATCCCAAAGTAGAATTTACGAGTTTGCACTTCCAAAATTTGACATTCCTTTAAATTATCTCATGGAGTTTTTGCTAAAATTCAACGAGACAAGAAGTTCGTAGTCTACTTTATTGTAGACAGAAAATGTGAACACCTGTTAAGATTAGCATTAACTAAACCATAGTGACCGAGACTGGCCACGTTAATGTTCATAGTTGGATCTCCATATTTCCTACCTTTTTTTGAGAAAAATATTTAAAATGTCACAATTTCAGTACTGCAGTTATCATTGTAAAATGCATTTGATGCTTAGTAATTAAAATTTTCCCAGTTTTAACTGCTGTTGAGTTGACTTTTGCTGTTTTCGGTATCACATTTTCTTTAACTAGGTTCTGGTTTTAACTTGTATTCCTGATTTATCCTAAGTTTTAAGAACAGAAATCATTTAGTATAAAAATCAGGAAAAAAAAAAGGATTAAGTGAAAGGCAGTTTGAGTTACAACATTATTTCCTTGTATTAAATTTATTTGGTTAATGTCATGCTCTCTTGCCAGAGAATCTGTAGGAGAATGCTGTATCTTGTATTTTGATCATTGGCTTTTTCTGAAAAAACTGCCTCTGATTTTGGACAAGCTCAGTTACACTTATGAGAAAGGTGCCTAGTGGGGAGGAAAATGTTGCCTTTTTTAAAAAAGGAGAATTTTAGACTAAGAAAACACCAAACTGATGTTAATTGTTGTTTTTAAAAGGTAGTGTTCAATCAAAAAGGTTAAGTTAATAAAACATATTTCTTATAAGATCATGATTTCTAATCTCTGGAATCATGTAAATTTGTTTTTCTTCATTAATACTTAATCTTCTGGAGGAATACTCTCAGTAATAATTCATTTCTGGCTGGGCTTTCAAACTTACCCCTAAGTGTTTTAGAATATTTTTTATTGTAATCCGTGGGTAGTATCTTTTTTGCCTCTTTCAGTTTAGTTTTATAAATACACTAATCTGGGCGCCTGGGTGGCTCAGTTGGTTAAGTGACTGCCTTCGGCTCACATCATGATCCCAGAGTCCTGGGATCGAGTCCCACATCGGGCTCCCTGCTCGGCGGGGAGTCTGCTTCTCCCTCTGACCCTCCTCCCTCTCATGCTCTCTGTCTCTCATTCTCTCTCAAATAAAAAAAAAAACACTTTAATAAAAAAATAAATAAATAAATACACTAATCTTGTTAAGGCAGATATGAGTGCCTTCTGTTAATATCCAGTTTTTCCTAATGAACAGGATAGGTGATGCTTTGGGAATTAAATTTTCTCACTGTTGATTAATTTCAGACCATTAATCTTCAGCCAGATTCCCCAAATTGTTTTCTTATTTTTTGCCTCTCCCATCCCCAAGATAATAATTTTTAATTTAAGTCAATGTTGAGAGATTTTTGTTGTTAGTTGTCTTATTTAACTCCAAAGTGATTAGGTACAAAACCATCTTATATAAGCAGTTACTCTGTCAAAACAGCTATACAGTGGAGTTGTGTTTAATTCAAGAGCTTAGTTTTAGTTTGGTACCTGAAGAGTCATGTATAGCCAAAGTTTCCCTTCTAAAAAAAAAATTTTCTTTAAAATACAATGTATGTAGCTGTATTTATGCATACTTTAAAAGCTGAAAAACTATTTCAAAAAGTTATGTGTGGTGAATTTTTTCTGTGGCATTATAGTAGATTTTTGTTTCCACAGTGAAGTTCCAGGAAGAGCATCTAATCTAGCTTGCTTTTAGGACCCATTTTGTACCAAAAACATATATGTACCATTAAATACTAGAGATAACGGAGTATAGCTACAAGCTCTCTTAGTGATCGCTCCTGAGTAACACACTCACTGTGAATGGATTTTCAGGCTCTCTCACTCAAGCTAGAGCGTTGTTTATTTATGCATGCCTTTATGCCAAGGACAGACCGTTGCTTTTTTGTATGGTATAAATGTATATTTTATGACTTTTAATACCATGTTATATTGCCATGTTTACCAGTGGGTGCTTTCAAGAGCTATATAACTAGGCTTGTAGGAATAGGCATTCTTTCTCCAGATACTGTTATAAAGATAGTGCAAAATTCTATAAATCGTAAAATGCTACCTATTGTCACATACTACGCATCCAATCAAAGAGAATTTTAAGAAATGTATCTAATGACATATTTTGGGTAGAATTTAAGTACTGCGCATTTGACATTTTGCAAGTTTATTTGTAACCTTAATGGGCATTGCTCAACTCAAATATACTCCAAATCTAGGAAGGACAGTTATCTCTGAAGCTCAAATTATACAATTATTTTTATAGTATTTGTTACCTACAAAAGAGCCTTTCCTTTCTGAGATTAGACACTTTTTTCCTTGTAAATGGAAGAATTTAGAACTTTGGGCAAAAGGAGAACTATAGAAATTGAAATCTTACCCAATAGGGTATTCTGACCTAGTTGTGGAAAATTGTGGGAAGTCAGAACCACATTTGGAGATCTGCCTATTGTCATATAGAGCAGAGCTAATGTAATGACTCAGACAATTTGCTTAACTTGCCCTGTAGCAGAAATTTTATTTTTATATATATATTATGTATGTATATTTATGTATATACATACATGTATGTATATATATATATGACAAGGTGTTCAGCCTTTCATAAAGTATTTCCAAAAGTTTTCCAAGAAATATAGAATGGTACAGATCATAGCATGAAGAATAGCATTGGGTTTTCAAAACTCTAGTGAGAGCAGGCTTCTACCCAAATAATGCTCCAAGTTAAATCTATCCTCACAAACTATTCACTGATTCATTTTGTGATGTCATGTCAAATTCTAACTACTGGTTACCAAGTGATCTCAATTTTTAATAAATTCCAATTTATTTGGAAATGAAAGCTTAAAGGATTTCTTAAGCAATTTCATCTAATGATATGCTTGTTTCAAAATAGGAACTGTAAGAATGAAACATTTAAAATTTGGCAAAAACAAAGTACTTTTTCAGAGAGTTACAATGATTAATGGGAGATTCTTTTTTCTTCTTATGATGTATTTAGGATTTGGGGGAGAAGGAATGGCAATAACAAGATACCAAGGTTTATTGTGAATCCTGTAAGGAAACATTGGATCATGTGCTTTTATGAATAGATAAGAATGATCTATCATTAGCTTGTCAAGAATACGGAGTTTACTTTCAAACAGCCTGCGTAAAGCCTGTCCTAATCACCACTCTCTACAGTCTGTGCTACTACTATTTTATACCACCAATGAAGAAATAATTGATTTTTAACTCTACTCTGCCACCATCCAAATTATTGAAGTTTGAATTTTAGTATAGCTATTACTTGAATTTCATTAAGCTGCTTTTGTTCATTAATAACTAAATATTCATAACTGGGCAGTAAGTAATATAAAACATTAAGTATTAAATTATCGATTTCTAGGGATTGGCAGAGTATTTAGTTAAAAGTGTTTTATATTACCAAATGTATATCTCAGAACTGTGACTATGCAAACTGAAGAAAGAAATCTAGTAGTGTGCAGTTAGGATTTTTGCATCAAGATAGGAATACTTCTACCCTTGTGCACCAAGTTCCTACTTTGGTTAATGAAGAACATTATCTGCTGATGGAGCACAGTGTCCTGTGTTTGTGCAAATAAATTAAAATGATTACATACTCAAATGAGGACTAATTAAATACAGAGCTGTTCTCCTAATTTAAAAGCACAGATACTTTCTTGAGCACATTAGGTTCTGAAAATCGGATATTACGTTTTGTGTGAGCCTAACTGATTAGGCTTACCTTGCATATATAAATTTGGTTTATTTCTGAAACTACCACTAAATCTGATAGCATGTGGGGTGATTAATTATGCATTAAGGTGTTTAAAATAGCTTTTCTTTTTTTTTTTTTTTAAAGATTTTATTTATTTATTTGAGACAGAGAGAATGAGATACAGAGAGCATGAGAGGGAGGAGGGTCAGAGGGAGAAGCAGACTCCCTGCCAAGCAGGGAGCCCGATGCGGGACTCGATCCTGGGACTCCAGGATCATGACCTGAGCCGAAGGCAGTTGCTTAACCAACTGAGCCACCCAGGCGCCCCTAAAATAGCTTTTCAACACTAGCAGCACAAAAAGAATTTTAAAAATGAGAAGACAATGAAATGCTCAGTAGATACATTTAAGATACTTAAAAATTTATATACCTACTTGGCTTACTCTGATTATCTTAAAAGTAGAGAAAGCAATATGGTTATTTCATTTTTTTCTTCAGGTAAATATAGTTCAAAAGTCCTTGTAAAATTTCATGTTAAATTTGCTTACAGTTTTCAGTTTTGTGATCTTTGATAATGCTATAGGTCTTGATAGCCCTTTCTTTAGGCAGCCAATGGTCCTAAAAGTCCTACTATATGTTTTTTTTTCAAAATAGGAATATCTTTATTTCCTTTTCCTGTTACATGCCATCATTATGATAAAGAGTAATACCTCTATACGGCAATAGAAAGGAACAGCAGTTTATTGATAAGATGTTTTAATAGGAATGACCCTCAGAAACATTATGCTAAGAAAAAAAAGCCCTATTATAGGAAAGACCACATACCCATTTATATGAATTTCTAGAAATCTGTAGGGACAACAAATTAGTAGTTGTCTAGGGGTAGAAGTGGGAATTGATTGCTCAGGAGCAGGAGGGAGCTTTTTGAGTGATCCTGGTTGCACAACTGTATGTTTATTAAAATCATTAAAGGGTACCCTTAAAACGTGTTAGATTTTATGATACGTTATTAGTATGGAGGGTGAGAATGGGAGGTAGAGGAAACTGCTAAAACATCTGTATATTTAGAGTTCAAGAGAAAAGAAGGAAGAAGAATCCTAAGATAGATATTCATAGAGGAAAAAACAATAAAGAACTTTTGACCAGAGGAAAAAACATTGAGATACCAAGGAAGAGAGATTGCCACCCGCTTCAAATTTCCCTCCCCACCTAACTCCCTTCAGATTGATTGGTTTGCGTTTTAGCAGACCACACACACAGGTGTCCTCTTCTCCCCACCTTGTACCCCCAGTGCCTTGTTCCACATGAATACATACATGCACACTCCTCTTTTTTAAAATTTTTATTAAAATCCTATAATGAAATCCATTTTATTAATTTGGTGGTTTTACTGTATTCACAATGTGCAACCATCATCACTCTCTAATTTCAAAATATTTCCATCATCTCACAAAGAATCCCCACACTTCTCACTTTCCCACCTTCCATACTCTGGCAACCAGTAGTTATTTTCTGTCTCTGGATTTGCTTATTCTGGACATTTCCTAAGAAGAGAGGCATAAAATGTGGCCTTTTGTTTCTGGCTTCTTTCACTTGGCATAATGTTTTCAAGGTCATTTTTTTTTTTAACTTCGCAATCTATTGTGGGCATCATATATGTTGAACACTGAAATTTTCTTCATTCTTTTTCCTGACTGGATACCGTTTTATTAAATGACCAGAATTTAATTTACTTCAGCAGTCCCCTGTTGTCGGACAGCTGGGATCTTCGTACGGTTTTTAACCATTTTAAATAGTGCTGCATTGGTACTGGCTTCTTCCGTTATTACAGTGCCATATTTGCTTTTTATAGTGCTCAGGTTAATACTTACTTACATGCAGAATTTGAATTCTGAAAATTTCAATAATTTTATTCCCCAGTAGTTCTGTTTAGTATGAGTCTAGTTTTTGATTTGTTGAAGCATGCAAGTCACATCTATGTTTGTACAAGCATTGCTCTGTGATTCTCTATTACCTCAGC